AAGATAGAACACCTAGTTTATATGTATCATCAAGATTTAGAATGAAGTATGTATTGTATAATAACACCCGATAGGCCTGAACCCTCCCTTGAAAGGGGGCTGAGCTAACATTCCCTCCCCCCATGTCCACCTTAAGAAGGAACATGTATGGAGTGTAAAGAAATGATGGGCATAGTGCCAATATCAAAAAATGCTCTAAATTTTTCCAGAAGATTTGGGTAATGTTCAATCAATATAATGACACATGGATTTCTCCCGATAAAGTAATGTTATGATTTATATATCCACACTTTGTAATTGTATAGTGGATCTTCTGATATATAAAATAAAACATATTATAAAATAAACATAGAGTACCGCTTGTAATTTTTTAATCTTTAAAAGCTAAATTAAGAAACTAAACTAGAGACACCTATCGGTAAAACTTTGAACTAAATTCAGCGCTAAAATTTATATTTCAGCCTCGGGATTTATGTTTACACCAACGGATCTTCTAGATTTTAGGTTATTCTGTAATGCTGAATGAAAACCCCATGGATTTGGAACCCGAAGATTTAACTTAACCAGAGTGTCCGAGCCAACGTAACCTAACCCCCTCCTAAGTACACCTTTGAGCGTACAAACAGCGTACCAACAGATGTGTGTGAAAGATCAGTATACAGCAGAATTCAAAGGAACTCATAATCAGTGGTTATTCAGTGCAAATGAACAAAAAAAAAGTTCAAACAAACTAAAAACTGAAATTTCACCAATTTTGCACGTTTACCCTATAATTAGTTACAAATATAAACATATTTTAGTGCAAAAGAACAAAAAAAATTTCAATCGAACTAAAATTTATAACATTATCACATTTTGCCAAAAAATTATAATTTATTGTGCAATAGAACTTATTTTAGAAAAATTAACAAAAAAATGTTCATTCAACTAAAATATAAATTTTTACCATATGTTGAACAGCTACCCAAATTAGTGCAAATGAACACATTTTAGTTCAAATGAACAAAAGATGTTCAATTAAACTAAAATTTAACCTTTTAACCATTTACCCATAGACACAGTGGTCCAGGGATGAGCAAAACCCTCTATTTGAATCATCAGAATTTAAATTTTTTAAAGTGTTTTTATGAAAGTTTATATATATTTTGGAACAGGGAAGATGAAAATTTTAATTTTTTTTCCTTTTATAGAATTTGTTTTTCAAAAAAAAGTTGTAAATATTTAATAAAAATTTGGTTTTTATGCTAAGAGATGTTTTCCCAAAAAAATGTTCCAATGAAATGAAAATTTTGCAATAACTTTTTTTTACTAAATAAGTAACACAATAAAAAAATTAGATTAATTATAAAAAATAAAAATTTCAGTTTTTTTTCAAAGGGGGGACCTAAATTTTATTTTAAAAAGACGTTTTTTTTGAGAAATAAATGTTTGTAGTTCTTGGGATTTTTTCCCCGAAATACCCTGAGCATGAGACCTATGCCAAAATGTTGCAATTGAAGTATAGAAATGGTTGGAAAAAAATTAGCTGCACATACTTGCACATGAGGTGTCAATAGTAAGTTTTATAGGTTGCACTAAAATATTAAAATTGAGAGGTTGCGTGATTTTCAATAATTAAATATTTTTTCTTTCTTTAATTCTCGCATTTTACACTATTGTTTACAATACAAAACAACTCAATTATTACAAATAATCTTTCTAAGGGGTGTACAAAAGGGGGGGGCATTGGTGCTATGCCCCCTCCTTCCCCCAAGTTGAGTCTCCTGAAAAAGAAGAAACTGGTTGACAGTTGAGGATTCAGTCTCCAAATGCAAGGGGCTGAGCCCTTCTGCCCCCCCCAGCTCTAACCTCCCGGCCCCCCCTGAAGATTATGAATAAAAAAATCTTAAAACAATATTAAATCATTAAAATACATTCATTTGGGTAAGAATCAAGAATAAACATAAATATCGAAAACAAGATTAAACATGAAACAGATTTGTTTCCGATTGATTCCGATTGAAGGTATCGTCAGTTGCAATTTGACCATGGAGACACTGGTTGCAAATGAGGAAGCATGTGCTTTTTTACATTTAAGAGTGAATTGTAATAAAGTTGCAATAAAGTTTTTTTCCTGACAATTTCTTTATTTTCATAATTGCAGTTTTGACTACAGATTTGAAATCCTAGACCCAAAAACCCTTGAAAAGACATACAACATGCATTTTTCATAAAAAAAATCTTTGGCTGTAAGCGCGCGCGCGACAGTCGCAACGCACACGCGCGAAAATTTGTAACTTTGACTACAGATTTGAAATCCTTGACCCAAAAAACTCTAGAATAGACATACAACATGCATTTTTCATAAAAAAAACTGTTAGATTTTAAGCGCGCGCGCGCGACACTTGCAATGCGCATGCTAGAAAATTGGCAATTTAGACTACAAATTTGAGATTCTTGACCCAAGAACCCCTAGAATAGACATACAACATGCATTTGTCATACAATTTCTTTGGTTTTTAAGCGCGCAAACGACGTTCGCGACGTGCACGTGCAAAAATTTGCAATTTTGATGACATAATTGAAATCCTTGGCCCAAGAAACCCTAGAATTGACATACAACATGCATTTTTCAAGAAACTTCACAATTTATGTGCATGTGCGCGCATAGTGCGCGCGTGAAATTAAGTTTTGACCTGAGATTTGAAATCCTCATCCCCGAAAACCCCTATTTTGATGTATTTGGAGTCCATTAACATTTCCTAAGTAATTTTGCTCACATTTGGTACTTTCTGGACCACTGTGATAGAGCGGTGAAGGGAGGTTATAGCCATGAGCCACCACTATCCCTTCCGTGCCAAAAGCTAAATAATACGTGGCACGGAAGGGGAAATGGTGGTGGCTCATGGCCGCTTGCCTTCCCGGCCGCTCGCCCATAAATTATAATTGTTTAAAGAAAAAAAAACAAATTTAAACAAATTTAGTCCGTTTAAACAAATTTTTTGTTGGAAATGTTCATTTGCACTTTAATGTTCAATTGCATTTATACAGAAGAACATTAGTCAGTTTGAACTTTTTTTTGCAAGAAATCTTCATTCGCATTTAATTGCACTATAATAAAGAAAAACAACATTTGTCCGTTTGAACAAATTTTTTTTGAGAAATGTTCATTATCACTAATGTTCAATTGCTCTCATTTACAGAAAAAACATCGCTTGAACAATATTTTTGCGAGAAATGTTCATATGCACTAATATATTTTAAAAACACATTAGTCCGTTTGAACAAAGTTTTTGTTGGACATGTTTATTTACAAATTGCACTAAAGTCTAATTGCACTAAAATTTACAGAAAAAAACGTTAGTCCGTTTGAACACCTTTTTTGTTGGAAATTTTCATTTGCACTAATAATTACAGAAAAACAATTCAAATATTTTAAGAATTCCAGATGAACTGCACTAATGATCATTTGTACTATAAATATTCTTAGCGGGAAATTAAAATTTTAGTCCAATTGAACACGTAAAGCTCAATTTGTGTTCATTTGCACTAATATTCATTCAATCTGTTTCTGGTCAGCTGACTCTTTGATGCAAATGGTCGATAGTTCAATCAGACATCAATGCAAACGATATAGCATCAATATTTTTATGATACAGGGTGTCCCAAAAAACATGGGAATTCAGTGCCGAATTCGATATCGTCTTTTCAAATAATTCTTTGATTTATTATATTGATACCTACTGAGAAAGCTGTAATCTGTAAGAGTTTCGTCTGCTATGTTTACATTTTGTTTGTTTATGTTTTGACTGCAACCGGTTGTACTTAGTAAAACAAGAAAATTACAGTATACAAACAGAGTAAACTTGTCTGTCTTCACTGTTCATCTTGCGGAGACATTATAGACACATCTTTGCAGTCTTTTACCCTTTTCTTTAAATAAACTCTAGCAGACATTATAATATTATTGCTTTTGAAATTAGGTATTACAATGCTAATTCATAACAAAGACGATATCGAATTCGTCACTGAATTCCCATGTTTTTTGGGACACCCTGTACAATATAGCTTTTATAAAGAGGAGTTGAACGAGTTAAACTGATGTAAGACACCTGAATCTCAATTTTCTGCAACAACCACCGGTTTTTCCTTATCTTAGATGTGAACTTATAAATCAATATTCTAACTGGGCGTCATGTTAATTGTTTACTTTTTCCTCGGTCAATATCGAATCACCGCTAACTTATACAACATCTTTAACCATTGGTTTGATAAAGGGGTTTATCATAGATAAACCACATACAAATACTATTTATAATTATGGCTTCTTTACTGCGAATAAATGCAGGAAATACAAAGAAGAAATAGGAAGATGAACAATATTAACGACTGCCCTTGTAAATATTAAATAGAGTTCATATAAGGTTCAAAACGAAGTTTGTCTGATATAAAACGTATTCAAGATTCTTATTTATAATGGAGGAATTAAAACGCGTCTCAAGTTTGTAATTAAAAAAACATGAAATAAAAATTTCTAAAAAACTTTTCAGTACATATAGACCCACAAGAATTGCAAATATTAAGCTTTAGATTTGACATTTTTATAATTCATTAGTTACTCTAAAAAATTTTAAATAAATTTAGTAAGACCGGATGAAATCTACTTGTAATCTTCTGAAAAATCTTTATAGGGTCTACCTGTAATATTTTAAAGGATTTTTGTTCATGTTTTTTATGATTACAAACTTGGAAGACTTTTTAACTCCTCCATGATAAGTATGTAATCTTCTGAAAAGTTTCGATAAAATTCTTATGCTGTCAAGATTTTAAATTCGACAAAAATTTTCTAAGATTTGTGAATACTTAAACATTTTAAACATATGTCTCAAGAATTAAAAACTTTGCCGATTGCTCATAATGCTAGACGTAACCTTCAGGCTTCAGAAAAATAAATTAACAAAATAAAATTAAAGATGGTAAAAAGCTTCAGAAACAAATTCCTATCACAAAAAAACAGTTGATACTTAATATAAATGTTTATTAGATGACACTACACTAACTACAAGGTACGGACTCAAGCTTGTGTACATGAAGGAGATGTTTAGAATGCGAAGAGGAGGAGGAAAGCCATCATAAGACAGAAAAGACCCATAGCCTCGGACAGGGCAAATCCTAGAGAATAAAAAAGTTAATTTTATAAACATTACATTATATATATATCAGTGCTAGATTTCTACCCCCCCCCCCCCCCCCCCCTCTGTTATTAGAGGTACAAACCAGAGAAATAAAAATGAGTACTGTCGGCGGGGGAATAACTTAGTAAAAATAAAAACTCCTAGGTAGATAGTTATAAACCGCAAATAATGAATTTTCGTGTCAATGGAAATTTCATAAGATTCTAATTGTTGTGAGAGCGAATGACATTCCAATGTATAAAACAGGTTTGAATATTGACCTGCATAAAAAGCGTAAATATTAGCGGGATTAAATGAAAATCTGAACTCTCAAAACCCAAATCTGAACTCTTGAAATAAAAGAATTGTCAAAAATGTCCAAATTTCTTAACCGCTCAACAAAATTTAGCATAAAAAAGAAGAAATAATTTGAACCTTCTTTGTTCAACAAATCAGTAATGCTTAGAAATGTTAAATACTTGTATTTTGTTACAGGACAATGTTTCCTTCAAGGTACTGTAATCGTAATTTCAAGTAAACCGTTAATTAATGTCAAATTAAAATATTACTCAAATACTTTGGAAGAACATTTCCGCAGTGCTTAGGATCCATTTAATTTTGATGCGGATCCGGATCCTGGATCCACACTGAAAAAAAATGGATCCGGATCCATGTCATTTCTTTAGGATTCACTGAATTTTTTGAACAAAAGATAATTTTCAAATTTTTTGTTATTTTTTTTTTCGTTTATTTTTATCCTAATACTTGATGAACCATTCAGACATGAGGACATTTTTATAATCTTTTTTTTCAAAAGTTCAGAGTAGGTTTATTGTAATAAAAAAGTTTTTTTTTGCAGTTTTTGGTTGATATCTTACCCCTTGGATCCGCATATTTTTGCTGATCCGGATTCAGGAAGCCAAAATCTTGCGGATCCAATGGATCCGGATCCTAAGCACTGCATTTCCACCACACGTAGAAAAAAGATCGAATTTCCAACAGTGCTCAGGATCCAGATCAGTTGGAGCCGCCAAAATTTTGGCTTTCAGGATCCGGATCCGCAAAAAATATGCGGATCCACGGATCAAAATATCAACCAAAAACTGAAAAAATACTTTTTTACTCTTAATACCCAAATCTGAACTATTAAAAAAAAAAAGATTATAAAAATTTCCTGATTTCTGAATGGTTCATCCATAAATAAAAATAAAAATTTGATAAGTCTGTTTTCTTAAAAAGTTTAGTAAATCTTTAAGAAAATGACCTGGATCCGGATCAATTTTTATAGATTCTTTATTAAAATTGGGGTTTAAAATATCAAATAAAATCTTATCAAAAAGTACCCAAACAAAAAAAATTGAAGAAATTTCGTAACTGTTCTTATAATAAGTCATAAAATCAAATTCCAAAAAATTTTAATTAAAATTAATCAACAATTTTATCAAGATTTAAACTAACTTTTCCATTTATGCAAGTTTAAACATTTTTATTTGAAGCAGAAATAGATTCCTAATTGTTTTAAAGAATGTTAATTTTTACAAATGTAGTATAATGAATATTGAAATTTGGGTTAAACAATCAAATAAAACTTCTCTAAGCTTTACAAATCCGAGATATCCAATTAAAGATCCGATATGTTTACCAAGATAAATTCTAGAATTTCGTCATCAACCTAACACCTCTCCCCCCTTCCCAGTGTTTCCTACCCAGGATAGCGTATGAGAAGAGCTGTTGCTTGAGACTGGGGTTCCTAGCGTATCCAATGATCAAGGATCCGAAGACGGATCCAATACCAGCTCCGGATCCAGCTACTCCGACGGTGGCGGCTCCGGCTCCGATGAACTTGGCAGCGGAGTCGATATCAGTCCTAGAGGCAGAGGTAGAGAGCAGAGCCTAAATAAGAAATATTTTAAATTAAAAATACAATTAAATCATTTATATTGCATATACATCAAATCTAATTGACACAGAAAAATACTTCAGCAATAAAAAATTTTTATATCAAATTATCTGAAAGGTAACCCCTCAGGAAATCTAAATTCTACCGTAATTGCAATACAATGCAAGATTAAGAAAATAAATAAATTATATTATCAACGACAATACCCTTCAAAGCTTTATCTGATCAAGCATTGCATTAAATATCCATATTTCCGATTTTGAAAACTGATTATTTTTATTTGTCATTTCTCTATAAATGCGACTTCGTGCATTTCTTGCTTCAGAAACGATGGAGAAATGGAGGTTTCAAAGGTACATCGGACATGCCACTCTATAAATGGTGGGTCACTTGAAATTACGTATGTATTCCATTAAAGTATAATTACATCATATAATAAAAAATACTTAAGAAACGTTTCCATCTCTATTTTTCACTTTTTGAAGCTTACACCACAGTATCAGATGTAGTGTCTGATGAGTTCACTTAGGAAAATTATATAAATAATTTAATTAACTATTAACACTTGTAATATGAAAGTGTGTATATGATCGAATGTTAACATAGTTATAAAAGGTATAAACATTTTTCAAAAAGGGGCCTTTTTAAGGATTGGCAAATTTTTTTTCTGCCCCCACAAAACAAATGATCTCTGTATATTACCAGGGATACAAGGACCAGGGCAGAGTATATTACCAGGGATACGAGGACCAGGGCAGAGTAAATTACCAGGGATACAAGGTTCAGGGCAGAGTATATTAACAGGGATACAAGGACCAGGGCAAGGTATATTACCAGGGATACAAGGACCAGGGCAGAGTATATTAACAGGGATACAAGGACCAGGCATTGTATATTACCAGGGAAAAAAAGGACCAGGGCAGAGTATATTACCAGGGATACAAGGACCAGGGAAGAGTATATTACATGGGATACAAGGACCAGGGCAAGGTATATAACATGGGATACAAGGTCCAGGGCAGAGTATATTACCAGGGATACAAGGACCAGGGCAGAGCATATTACCAGGGATACAAGAACCAGGGCAAGGTATATTACCAGGAATACAAGGATCAGGGCAGAGCATATTACCAGGGATACAAGGACCAGGGCAGAGTATTTTACATGGGATACAAGGACCAGGGCAGAGTATGTTACCAGGGATACAAGGACCAGTGCGCACTATCCCAGAGATACAAGTACCAGGGCGGAGTATAATACCAGGGATACAAGTACCAGGGCGGAGTATTCTAGGATACAAAGACCAGGACAAAGAAAACTAGAATACAAGGACCAGGGCGGATAATATTACCTGGGACCAGGCAGCAGGGCGGACATTCCTGGCAGCGGTGAGGGCCAGTCTGGGGCAGATGGTGAGGCGAGCTAGGGCAGACATTCTGAAAATATTAATATTGAAACAAATACTCTTGGGTCATTACTTCTTGACAACACACATTTCTATATTTTACTAATTAACTACATATTCTCCATA